TTTGAAAACTTCGTAAAAGTGGAAAATTTATTTAAGCTTGAGGAGCTTCGTAGAAGTTAAGGGAAATTATTTTATTTCGGGGAAGCTCATTATTGATCGGGAACCTGTATTTAATTTCAGGACACTAGAAGTGGAAATTACGAATCAATTTAAGAAATTTCGTTCGTGTAACTTTGCGGAAAACAAACGAGAAACGTAGAAGTGTAGCAAAGTTTGTAGAAATTTTGCGAATTTCGTAGCATTTTGAGGGGCTGCGCAAACTTTATAAGTGTAACGAATATTTGAATAAGTTCAGAAAATTTTGTAGAAGATCTAAAATAGTTCAATAAACTTCTAAGAACTTTAGGGATCCTCGCTTCAGTTATGGGAACTTCGTTGCAGTTTGTCAGAGATCTTACTTTAAAAAAGCTCCATGAACTTCTTGGAGGTTTTAGTAACTTCGTTAAATTTCAAGGAACTTTCTAGATGTTGAAGAATTTATAAAATTTCTTAAGTGTCCCTCCAAAAGTGCAAAGATGTTCAGAAATCTTCGTAAAATTATGAAAGATGGAAAAAATATGGAATTTGGATCAATTAAGGGAACTTAATATGTTGAGGAAATTTTGTAAAACTTATGGGAGTTTTATAGATGATCAGGAAACGTTGCATAAGTTACAGGATATTATTTCAGAAATCCTTCCTAGACAGCAGGAAATATTCATAAGATCTCCATATAGACGAAGATATTAGTTAAGTTCTTTGAATATTTTTCAAAGACTTCAGGTTGATCAAGTTCTGAGGATCTCCAACTGTATAAAAATTGAAATATCCTTTAAAGATTATAGGTTGTTCAGGAAGTATTCAAAAGTTTTCCAGCTAATTGAATCTGATGGAATCTTGAATGATGAATCTAGATTGTTTAGACATGTTTGTAAATTCTCTATACGAAAGACCCATGCCTTGGTGATTTAGCTATATTGTCAAGAATTTGCACTCTGTAGCTGAAGTCCGTACATAAATTTAAACGATGAGATGGAAATTTCTGCATATATGTATAAATACCTTATATGTGTAAATTTCCTTCTTTTCGATGAAATTTATGCCCGGAATTCAGTTGCAAGATTGTTAGACTGGCTTTGCACATAAAAAAAATCCTTGCTTTTTGTGTCTTTTTTTTTATAAAATAAACTTAAAAAACTGAAAAAGCTCCCCATTAAAAAAAAAGTCACAATGCTTTTGTAAAAATAAATTAAACTATTATCTTATCGCAAACAGGGACACAATCATTCAAGATTCGAATTCATTCCTTTCGATAAGAATTAAAGTTAAATCTTGATTTATACATAACAACAAGTGTTAGTTAGTCCGATGCATCGAATAAAAAAAATGCTCAGGATAAATTATTTATTACCTTCTTTTGTAATTTTTGTTAGATGTCAATATTTTTTTTAATTTTTGCTTACTTACCTCGAAGAATTTTCCTTTTAAAAAATGCTGTAAGTCTCAGAATCTAGGCATATTTTGCAAGTCCAAGAGATGCAAAGATTGTCTTAGCCTATGTTATCAGAACCTTTTATCAATCCCTTAAATTTATTTTGATCAAAATTTGGTGAAATATATTAAACTTATTAAAATTCTTATTTTATTTGTTTTTAATATTCATATACTATTTTTGTTATGAAATAACTGTCTAGGAAGAATCTTTAAATTTTATCTTAGTCTTAGAATTATCACAATTGATAAAATTTCGTTGACTTTTATTCAGTTCTATTCGAAAAATTTAGACTTCCAATATGTATCAAATATATGTAATTTTTTAGTTACAAAATCTTGAAAACAGATGGGTTTGGGATCTCAAATATATTTTTATTTTTAATTCAGAATGTTAAGAATTGTGTACGGACATATATTTTGAACATTTGCTTAAGTCCTAAATGTATGAAATTTATTCTGTATGCCCTTACCATGTTTGAAAACCAGAATTTTAAAATTATAACATTCAAACTCCTATAATTTAAATGTGGTTCCTATGTCTGAGATTTCACTGATGATTTAATATTCAAAATTTAAAAAACCTAGTTACAAAATTCATGGAATTATCTAACTCTGAGAATTTTCTGAGAATTTGAGATGCATAATTTATGAGATCTGGACGCTATATGATTTCATCACAAAAGTATGAAAAACGATCATTGCTTGTTCAAAATCAGTAAGCTTTTAAGGCTCCCCAATTGAGGTCCTAAATTGAGGTGAAATTGTTATGAAAGAAATATAATCAAATTTATTGTTTAACCATTCAAATAATAGTAAGCCTCGATTTCATATTATTGGTCACAGAAAAAATGTACCCGAAAACAAGTTGCCTTGACGCATTGCAATTGAATAGCATGCTCGCGAGTGTTTACTTAACCGTAATTTAGCAAAATAAAAAAAAATGCAGCGGGCCCCCCATAGGCCCCCTCCAGATATATTTTCTAGCTACGCCAATGCTAGTCTCATGTCAGGCAGAAGAAGAAGGAAAATAAACTACAATGAAAATTCAGGATGTCTACTCCCTGAAAAAAAATCTGGAAATCCGGGTATCCTCAAATGCCTCTATTACCGGATCCGATAGTAAAGTCAGTATTAGAGATAAATGAGCTCTCAAATTGCAACTAAAAGTGATCCGAATGTAGTTAATTACTTTCATACATCACTCCCTCTCAATTGTTGCTATCACAATTTGATTTTATAAAAAAAAATCCCGACAACACCGAAAATACAGGATGAAACCAGGGCTGTGCAGTTGGATGAAGATCCATCGACTCCAACTCCTTGAAATTAACCCATTCTAACTCCGACTCCGTTTCAAACAGAATACAATTATTTAAGAAAATTCCGGAAAAAGTAAAAATTCATTTAAAATACCAAGTACATTTAACCAAAACTAATTCTTGAGAAATAATTTGGAAATTAATTGATTGTTGTTTTAGTTTACGATAGTCATAGCAAGCAAGCAAGTTTAATCCAACTTTTGATAACCAATTATACAGTTAATCCCAATACATATCTTACATCAAATCTCATTCTAATGGTACATTAACAATGTAAATTTACTTGTGTTTAAAACCTTGTATGATTTCGTGATGGTGCTACAATGTAATCGTACCCCCATAATTTCGGCAAAAACTTAGATTTACGTCAAAACAAAGGTCAAGATCCTGGATTTTCAAAACAAAGTCAACATTCTAGGACAAGCGATATTTTTCAAGACTCTTTGGCGTTGACAATTTGTCGAGATCACCTCAGGCATCTTAAGACGACTGTTTTAGATCGCCCCAAGAAAGATTATCAAAACTCTGGGACTTGCGATTTGCGAACTCTGAAAATATTTTCAAAATCATCCAAACAACTCCACCAGTTCCATTTTGGGGGGAAACAACTTCCCAAATCTCAAACATGCCGGCAACGGAAATCTACCTACCCATATTAACCCACTCCGCTATCTAGGTTCCATATCAGCAGCAAATTTTCCACACTCAGCAACAACAGCATATGATGCAGCACCAGCAGCAATCACCCCCACAGCAGCAGCAACATCCCAACTACATGCAATACCCCGGCCAATTTATGCCTCCCGCTATGATCAAATCACCCCAGGAAGAGCAACAGCAGTCGAGCAAATCTCGAAGCCTCGAACGGAACGCTAGTCAGAATCTTGTTTCCACCTACGCGGCTCGAATAAACTCCCTGGAGCGAACTCGTCAGATTAGCCTGGAGTATGGAGCTGTCAAGGCTATGAGATCCAACTCCCTGACTAGGCAGTACAGCGGGGGAAACCAGATGGATTTGTACCCTGTGAATCATGGTGTAAGATCGGCTAGCTTGGAACGTGGAGGTCAAACGGGCCAAGGGTACATCAATAGAATGGGAAGTTTGGAGAGAAATCAGAATCAGGCAATATTCATGAGTAGCATCAAGGGAGGAAGCTTGGAGAGAAACCAATCCGCTGCCATCGTAAATGATATCATTACCAATAAAACAGCTTACAAGGGTGGTAGCTTGGAACGAAATCAACACATCATGATGAATGCTGGCAGCCGGGGTGGAAGCTTGGAAAGAAACATGTCCTACCAGAATTATCGGAGTCCGGTATCGGCAGCTCCACGCGAGCAAGAACCGTTCCAAGAAGAAATCTACGACTTTGGAGGAGTCAATGTCAAATCATGTGCGTCAATCGCCTTGAAAAAGAGTGTAGAAAAGGGTATTCTTCCACCAAGTACACTGATGTCCCCTGGTGGTCAACCGGCTGCCAATTTCGCTCTTCCCCCACCATACAGCTCGGCACAAAGTTCTAAATTTAACGCTCAACAACAACAGCAGCAGCAACAGGTACAACAACAACAGCAACATACTCCTCAGCGGTCAATGTGGCAGCAACAGCAGATCTTCCAGCAACAACAGTCACCTCCTCCGCCGTACGTTGCAGCCAGTCAAGGTCAAATACCAGGCGTCCCTATAATGGGCATAGCTTCCTCCCAACAAGTCCAGCTCCCTCATCAAACGGCATCAGCCATAAAGGTGGGAATCGCCCAAGCCGTCGCCCCACAGCAAATGCCAATGATGGTCACAATGCCACAACAAGCCACAATTCCCTTGCAGCAGCAGCAGCAGCAGCAACAGCAGCCGGTTCCAAGCGCAGTACCAGTTGGCACCGGATCACAACAGGTTCGCCATCCATCAGTTGTAGCTCTTCAGCACTCGGTGTGATTTGAGTTGATTTCGAATTTGTTTTATCATTTCGAGTAGACTTACTACCTTTGTTGAGTAATATTTGTTTCAATTTCAGTTCGATTACTGTTCCCAGAGACTTCGGTTTTCTCGCAGGTCCTTTTACAATATATTTGCATGTTGAGCGTATCTCTTATGAGTTTATCAGTATAATTTTGCTTGCCTAGTTTGGATTGATTTAATTTAGATTGATCATTTAACCGACTTTGAGCTGCATATACTAATTCAATATTCTTTCACAACTAACTCAGATCCAAGAAACGCAGCAAAATCTCGAAGCCAAGCTACGAAAGCAACAGCAGGAGAGCGAAGTCGACTCCAAGTGGCTTCAGCAAGAGGAGAGCAATCTCAAAAAACGACTCAGTTTGATCACATCCGCCGCTGGCGGCGCATTGTTCGATCAGCAACAACAGCAGCAGCAGCAGCAGCAACAACAGCAGCAACAACAACAACAACAGCAGCAGCAGCAACACCAGCAACAACAGGAGATGAACAATGGAAGCGGTTCACTGTCCGGTAGTTACCATTCCCAGCAGAGTCCACACTTCTCCCCACAAAATACCATGTCCGGCCCGCAAAGTCTGAGTGATCACTATCCAACAACACCAAATACAACCGACTCAAGGTGACTTTTCTAGCTAAACGAACCAAATATTTCATATCTAACAACCTTTGTTTCTACCATCCATAGACCGCACACTCCAGGCTCAACATCCGGTATGATCAAATCGAAAAGTTCATCGATGGAACGCTGCACGACGCCCCTGTCCGGCGATGAAAAGTATGTTATCAAAAAGATAGAACCAACCCGAACGATGCCGTTGGATCGAAGTGGTGATATTGTCTACATTGCTACGACCAGTGTGGTCAAATCGATCATGGCTCTGAGCCAAGGCGTAGATAAATCGCTAGCTTTCGACTACCTGGATTTGGTGAGGAATGTGGGGATTGAGCTACGGAAGCTACTCGGTGCCGTGGATCAGATCTCCGGTTCATTTCCGGCACAGTGCCACAAGTAAGATCAACGATTCGGAAATATGGTGGAGGTGATACTGAAGTGGTTTCTTATTTCATTGACAGGGAGGTGGAGATGGCACACAAAGTATTATCCAAAGATATGTTCGAGTTGGTGGCGGCTATGCGGTTAGCGCAGCAATACAGCGAAACGACGCTCGATGCTGAATATAGAAAGTAAGTAGCATTGTTTGATTACAGCCGTTGCGCTAAAGTCATAGCCCACTTAGTGAAAGGTTTTCGTTAGTTGCGCTGAGCTGTCAAGCTGAAAATTGGTTGCCTTGGCAAATCAAAGTTGGCACTCGTGGAAAAGAAGAACTATGGGTGTGATGATGCTTTCAAAATTTTCCACGGGGAAGTATACGAGTGCAATCTTAAAATGCTTTTATTTTGTGAATGGAGCATTTTTTTAAAATCTGGTTAGTGTTACGTTAGTATAAAACTTAAGGACTACTCAATAGACATATAATACAGAAAACATAATTTATTTTCAGATGTTTAGGTGTAAACATAGACTTTAACTTTTCTACCACTGTAGCAGCAACTAGATTTAAATAAAATGCTCCATTTTAAAAATAAAAGCATTTTAAGATTGCACTCGTGTACTTCCCCTTGGAAAATTTTGAAACCATCATCACTTTCATAGTTCTTCTATTCTCCACGAGTGCCAACTTTGATTTGTCAATAACCGCATATCAGTCCCCTATACACACTTAGATTTTTTCGCCGTGATGGGCACCACCGAGCAGCTCGGCATTTTATTTTGCTGGATCTCAGTGAAAAACTTGCCGAGATTCAGCTAACAAACGGGAATTTTGCCGAGATCTCAGCTAACAAACATATTTTTTGCTGAATTTCCAGCAAAATAAAATGCCGAGCTGCTCGGTGGTGCCCATCTCAGCAAAAAAATCTAAGTGTGTAGAAGTCCAGAGGTCCAGAAGTCAATTTACAGTTCTGTTTTTTGAATCGTCATTTTTTCGCTGATAGAACAAAACATGCAAACTGATTTTAACTTGACAAAATTATCAATTAATTTGTTATGATTTTTTAAATATTTACATGGAAATTGAACTTCTTAACTTCAACTGCTATTTTTTTTCCAATGCCTACTTTTTCCACATGGAACTGATATGGGATTATAGGCAGTACACCGATTGATTATTATCATCACAAGCCTTGAGCAACTATCCAAATTGTTCATGAATGAGCCCCTCGAAAATGAATCGGCACTGTCAGAAATGACGTTTGACTTCGATTTAGGTGGGCTACAGGTTACTAATGGGAGCCCAACTAAAAAGTAGCCGACTTAAAGATAGTCCAACGAGCGAAATTCGACTGTAATTGAATTGAATAAGAATACCATGAGGACCATACACTTATTACGTAAGATTTTAAAAATTAATTGTCTTACGTTGTCTTACAAGGGAGGCTGGGAATTTCAGAAATACCTTACAAAATCATGAAGTATACAGAACGGGGGAGCTGGGATAGAAAAATCGCAACTCTGGGCCAAAAACTTGAATGAACTAATCATATTTTAGTATACACTCAGGTCTTATTTTACACGGGGGATACGTGCCGTGTAAAAAAAACCTACGAGATTTTGATTTTTCACATGTTTAAATGTTTTTAAAAAATCGGATTTTGATGCCATTTGTAATTATGGCATGCTATGGTCCATATAGACATATTTTAAAAATTTCTGTATTTACACCAAAAATTGTGATTCTTTTTAAGTATGCCATTCGATTACCTATAGCTTGAAACGGATAATGTGATTGGAATCAGGTCGATAGGTTGTATCGTTGTCGAGAAAGCGTTAAAAACGTACCGTGTAAATCGCGAAAAACCGTGTAAAAAAAACCGCGTAAAAAAACCGTGTAAAAAAGGCTTCAGGTTTTGTTTCAGATTTTTCTTCGAAATGTCAAACAAAGAACCGTTTGTCTGGAGGTTACACTCAATGGAATGAGTGTTTCTCAATTGAAAGTGATGCATGCCTTCGTCATCCATTCGAATGAGATCGTTGTTATTCTCATTTTCAAAATATTTAGCATACAAATAAGCACACACTTAGAAAAATTCATGTAAATTTAGGTGCTCTGAGACTGACATATACGAGCGTCAATTTCGACATAAATTTGAGTCATAACAGATGCGAAATATAGCTTAATCAAACGTATTTTTCGTCCAGCAACAAACTTTTCAGTCTCGGAACACTTAATATTACATGACATGTTTGTTTACGTCTCATCTTTTATGTCAAAGATGGATTCCGCCACTTGTAAAATTAGTTATTTTTAAGTGTGCAGCACTGCTTTTATACACCGTTCACATTACAACCTATATCACGTAATATAGGCTGTCTTGCAATAGGCACTCATACATAGGATTTCCAGTGAAAACTAGATGTATGAGTGCTCATTGCAAGACAGCGTATATCAAGTGATATACGCTGTAATGTGAACGGGGTATAAGCTTTGAGTGTAAATCCACAGCACCCAATCAGGTCAAATTTTGTCTACAAGATAAGATAGCTTCTGGGATCGTTCAAGTGATTTTTGAAAATAACACACTACGAAAAAGACATGCAAATTTCAGTGCCCTGATGGCTATTTGACAATATTTCCCACATGTTCTGAAATTGTAAGCCGCCATCTTGGATTTCTAAATGGCGTCGCATATCAATTTTCGATCTGTAGACATCATACCGATTACAAAAATATCAATATTGATGTGTATTTGACTGTATTTTCACTTTTCTTAAGTCAGAGGACGCCATCTTCGATTTCAAAATGACGTCGGATATCGATTTTCATCATCTAGACATCATTCCAATTCCAAAAATATCTTTATTGATAGGTATTTGACAGTATTTCCCACTTTTTATAAAACTGGAAGCTGCCATCTTGGATTTCAAAATCGCGTACATATCAATTTTCGATCTCTAGACGTCACCCCGATTAAAAAATACCCATATTGATGGATAAACAAACCACCCGACAATGATAAATATGACATCCACATGCACAGATCTATGCGAATACGCTTAAATTAACCGAGTTAACAATCAACAAGAGTCATAAAAACTGCGCGAAATTTGGTCGAACAGCTTCGCTAAAATGACAATGAAAGAAGAAAAATGAACACGAGTCAAGCCAAAACAAACAGCATGAAAACTGATCAAAAGTGGTTCTGTTAATGTTGACGGGGATCTGATCGAAGAGAAGAAAAATGGCTTTCAATTGAAAGTGATGGTTTACAGCTTCATCGTCACTTGACGATTTTCGATTGAAAGTAACTTTGCCGGGCCCTGGCCCTGAGACCGACATATGCAAGTGGCCCTTTTGACATAAGAATCAGTTGAAAAGGACGAGAAAATCAATTCAATCAAACACTCTTTTCGTCGAGTTGAATATGTTTAAGTTTCAGGACACTTAATTTTACATACCATGATTGTTTACGTTCCACGATTTACGTCAAAGCTGTAAAAATAATAATTTCTAAGTGTGAAGGTAAGGTAAGGTCAAGAGTGGGTTTTGAGGTATTATCACTATCTCTTTAATAGATCGTTATAGTTATAGTTACATAATAGATCATTCGAAATTGGGAAGCGATCATAACAAAACTGCATAACAGGCAATAGAGCCCATTAATTTAAGCAAGAATAAGAATCTCCAACAGACAGCGTAGCTTGACACGTGGCTGCTATTTTTAACAGTCAGATATTAGATGTAAGGCAAAAACCATAGAGAACCTGCAATTCTATAGATATTCATAGAACATTCCAGAAATTTTCATGAAGATCTCGGAAATTTTCGTGAATTTATCTGAACTTACTCGAAGCTCTCAGGACTTCCTCAAGATTCTTTTTACTTCCCTGAAGTTCACTGTACTTTTTGAAGTCATCAGAACTCCTAAATGTTCCCACAATTTTCCTGGAGTAAATGGAACTGCTTTCAAGTTTTCGAAACTACCCGGATGTGCACGAAGCTTCTCTTAAAATATTTAAATTTTCCTGAACTTGTCTGAACTTTAATAAAGTTCCCAATTTTTTTTTAATTCTAGGAAGTTCCTAAAGTTTAAAAAAATTCCCATAAGATCTCGAAAGTTCTTAAAATTTCTGTAAGTTCCCTGAAGGTAATGGAACTGTCCTTAGATTTTCAGATCTTCCCTGAAGTTTTCGGACCTTCCCTTGAATTCTTTAAATTCTTCTGAAGCTCTTAGTACTGCCCTGAACTTAATAGAACAGTTCTAAGATAACAAGATAACTTTGATGGAGCTTTCAAAAAATTTATGCATTATTCACATCTCTGAAGTTTTCTAGGAGCATCTCAAAATTTTCGGAGATTTTCCTAAAATTAATGGAACTGCAATCTTTTTTACCTGAAGTTTCCCAATTCTAAAAACTGCCCTGAAGATTACGCAATTTCTCCTGAAATGTTCCCCCTGGTTCCTGATGTTCAAATCTGCCCTTGAGTGTCCGGAAGTTCTCGGATCTCCCCATTGAACTTTCCGAACTTCTGTGAAGTTCCCGAAATTCTCTGAACTTCGCTGTTCTCGAAAATTTTCTGGAAATTCAAAACCACGCTGGAGATCTTCGAACTTCCCTCGAATTTACAAAACTTCTTTAAGGGGGGAAATACAAGTAACACGTCAAAAACTCGACGATTGTTGGGTTTTTTTGTGAACAAATGAAACAACGCAAACGTTTGGGGTTTTTGCATTGAATTGCTTAAATCTTCCTCTACATTTGAGATTTTTTTCATTGGTGTGTGACTTCTGTGGCTCCTTGGGGTCACATTGGAAGGAGGTCGCCTCCGGTGGGGATTGGTAATTGGCGGGCGTTCTAGAGACCTGAAAATTGACAAAACTTACTTTTATCAATTGGACCTTATTTAGAAAAGATTTTTGTTCTATGTGAACCTCTAAAATCCAAAAAAAAAACGATTTAAAAATTTAGAAAAAAATATCTGAAAAAAGTTGATTTTTCACTGTTTTTTCCACTTTAGGCAGACCTGAAAATTATTTATTGTTAATTTTTTCATGATATCACATAGAGTAAAAATTTGTTTCCTTTAAGATGTGCTAGGTTTCAAGTCATTTGGATGACAACTTTTTGAGTTATCTTTCCCGCCAATTTGGAAAACACCGTTTCGAGAAAAACGCGTTTAAAGTTTTGGGTTGTGTAAAAACATGATATCTGGAACTTACGGTTAATCAGCGATACCGGGGCCATAGATCACTTCTTCCTCGTGCTCGTGGCTTTTTAAATTTTTTTAAAGTAAAATATAAAAAAACGATTAACAAAATTTTTACTTGTATTTCCCCCTTAAGATAGCGTAAAACGAGGGAAGTTAATCATTGAGGTAAAGTTGATCACTACACCGTTAAAAACTAAAAAAAAACTAAATTCTCACATTAAAAAGCATTTGCTAAAGGTTGAACACGTCTACGAAAATCTTGTTGGGGTATATGCGTTTTATGTTTCGTAGTTCAATGTAACAGCTATACATTATTAGGTATTATGTTTATTGTAGGATCGATGTTTCAGTCTTCTTTCTTAACATAGGCCATTGCTCGAACTTTTCTTCGTACACGGCCTCAGCTTTTGCACGAACCCTTGTTTGGCTGCCAAATTCAATTTCCGCTTGAAATCCTTCAGGCTAGTTGCATTTCCACCCTTTTTCTTCAGTATGTGCTTCACAATTGACCAGTATTACTCATTGGCCTTAGTTTCGGAGTATGGGCCGAATTCAATCTTCTGGGAACCACTGTGACGCCATTTTCGCTATACCACTGTTTGGTGAAATTTGAGTAGTGGCAGCTTGCCAAGTCCAGCAAGTGGATCCACACCGTGGATTTCGACTAATTCAAAAGTTTTGCTAACTCTCTAGCAGATATACTGAAATTTTCGTTTCGAGCGCTTGATCCGGTGAAGCCATGATGTAAACAATTGAACTTTTCCTGACAACCAATGCCTACTGTGATTGAATACACTCACAGTGGAATTTTGAAACATTTTACTCAAGAAATGCCTTAATGGCCGCGTTTTCAATGTGTCCGGTTTTTTCGTGTTTAACATTTAGTACAGGTTCGAGAAGTATTTGTTTGTGTGCCAAACATATGGTTGAAACATATGGTTCTTCAGGATTAACGTTAAAATGTTGTACCCGTTTTACGGTATCCTGAAATTAAATCGAAATAATTAATGAAGTTCTGAGATCTTCAATGAAGTTCTTTAACTTTTCTTGCAAGTCATGGCACTTCCCATAAATTACCAGATCTATTTATTCGACATCTTAGAACTTCCACAAAAGTCTAAACTTTCCTGGCGTTTTACATTTTCCTGATGATATTTTAACTGCCCGAAAGATTGCTGAACTTCTTTCTCTATTCTTCTGAAGTTAATTAAATTACTATGAAGTATCTAGATCTTCCTTGATTTTCCCTTAATGTTCCTAAAGCTTGCGTGACTTACCCCTAATCTTCCCCGAACTTCTATAGACTTCCCTGAAGTTTTCGGTGCTTCCCTGAAGTTCCCACAATGTTCAAATGATCCGGAAATTATTCTGACATCCTGAACATCCCGCAATGACCCTGAAGTTTTCGGAACATTCTGGAAATTCTCGAAATATTCAATAATTCCTCGAAACTCCTTAAAAGTTTCAGAAATTTTCCTGAAGTTCATGGGACTGCTCGGAAGTTCTCTGATCATCCTCGAAGGACTTGGAGCTTCCCTTAATGTAATGAAACTACCTAACGAAACGAGTATGGTTCTGCGATGAGTAGTTCCACGCCAAATGACAAATCGGAAAAACTCGACCTTCTCCGATGTGCATAAAACTTTGCATAATTGTGTGTTATGGGCAATCATTTACATTTTTACGATAAACCAACCATTTTGAACCTCGTAAATTTTTTCTTGTCATTTTTCAATAAATTGCAGCACGAAAATGTCACTTCTGATCGAAATGACGTCTGAGACAAAGTTGAAGAGAAAATAAAAGAAGGATTTCTGAAAAACATATGCATGGTATTTTTTTTTTAATTATTTTGAATACAAATTTCAAAAAATTCTTAGAAACTCAAATATCTTTAAAAAAAATATATAGGTCATTCCAGCTCAAGTGGGTACACCACCTGTGGTAGATGTCATCTATTTGAGCCAAACTTGGCCAAAACGCTTTTTTTCCATTCTGAACAAATGCTTTTTTTTTATTTTGCTTTGAAGTGCCTAGATCCCTCTCGGTTACAACCTTGAGGTTCCCAAATTTTTAAAAAATTCATCTTTCAGAAGAAATTACTCTACAACCAAATAAGCTATTCGTCATCTAAGAACGTCAATTTGAAGGTTTTTTTTTATATAGATTCTTATAAGTGTACTCACATTTTGTTATTATTGAACATGTAAAAAATAACATAAAAATATTAATGTGCCATCGGCGTGAAGGAAATCAATAAAAACAATATTAAATAGCATTGATTTTCCACCAGAAAAGCTCCAAGCTACCACTCACTCATCTGGTCATATTTCAAAAACTATTTGTCTAAATCAGTTGCCCTTGGAAACACATCAAGTAGAAGAGTTTTCCAAAGTGTGGTGAACATTTGAGCCCAAAATATTAAGATATAAAAAATCCCGACAATGGTGAAAATAGGCCATTTTTTGACAATTTGGATACCTGCCGGTAATAAGCCTGTTTACTGTAGTTACGATAACAAAAACATAATGAGGGTACACTTATAAAAATATACATAAAAAAGCCTTCAAATTGACGTTCTAAGATCATGAATAACTTATTTGGTTGTAGACTAATCTGTTCTGAAAGATTAATTTTTTTTTAAATTTGAAAATCCAGGGTTGTAGCCAACAAGAATCTAGGCATTTTAGAGCAAAATTAAAAAAAGGCATTTGTTCAGAATGCCACAATAAGTGTTTTGGCCAAGTTTGGCTCAAATCGGAGACGTTTGGAGGCGAATCAGCCTCAGGCTGAATGCCTCCTTAATAAAGATAAATCAATCAATCACCGATTTGTGACATCGACCACAACTTTTTTAAATTCTGTACCCATTTTAGCTGGAATGACCCGAGTCTTAAATGTTTAAGTATTAAAAAAAAAACTCTTAAAAATGCAAACTTTTGAGATGTTTAAATCTATGGACACTTGAATATTGAAAAAAATTGTAGAATAAGAACTTTTGGTCAATGCTTTGAATCGAGGGGCCCTTTGGAGTGATAAGCAGTCACGTTTACCACTACACCGCGCTTAATAACATCGAAAATTTGTCTGATATGTCACTGTTGTCATAAAAAATGATACAAATTTTCATTTGGTTACCCCTCGATAAACAAATACATTGGTAGCCTTTTCAGCCACAGAGTCGCTTTCATCGCTGAAAATTCGAATCGCCAGCTAAGCGAAAAAGTGGATCATATTGTTAATATAATATAGGGGAAATGGGTGTAATGTCGGCCTAAATTCTCCTAATTTGGGCCCATACATAAATTCAGAAATAGACTAAATTTTCAATAGCCACTCAAAATATCCATTAGTACAGTCCCAATAACGCGTTCATCTAGATAAAATTGATAAATAGCTGATTTTTAGCGATTGGGCCCAATATTAGATCCATAGGCCAACATTAAAGCCGTTTCCGCTATTTGTGTTAATGCTAGCTCCAGTCAAAAACATTCGATTAAAACGTAACTTGCTACCAGCAGCGATTCCGCCGAGAAGTTTATACCCAGTTTGAACTTGTGCAGGTTTACTAGCGCTGATAAGCCAGCTGATGGTAAAAATGGTCATCAGCATGATGGAACAGTTTTCAGCTGATTCTTAAAGTGATCAATCTTAATTCGATAAGGGGCTATCCATAAAATACGAAGACAGTTTTTGAGTCTCACTGACCCTAACCTGTAACACTTCAATTGATCGAAAACTATTTTCTTTCTCCCCTCGCAGGAGTATGTTATCAGCAGCACATGTGCTCGCTATGGATGCCAAAAACCTCCTAGACGTTGTCGACTCGATCCGTGTCCGCTTCCCGAACCTTGTATTCCCGAAACAACCGAGCCTACCAACCAGTCCTATCCAGAAGCAGCCGCCGACAATGGCACCTTCCTCGTCGGTGACTCTGGCTACCTCATCGGTCACCAGCAGCAGCAGCACCGTTAACAGTAGCATTAGCAGCAGTACAGTTCCGTCCAGTGGTGTACCACCGACTTCATCCTACCACCAGCAGCAGCAGCAACAACAACAATTTCTATTCGACCTGCAATCGGTCGCTGCGGCCGGTGAATGCTACCAGAACCTCCAGCCAAAGCAAATCTTCCATTCACACAGTTCACCACCAAGTTCACTGACGCATTCCTACGAGGGCAACCAGGCTCAACTGTACACCAACCAACAGTGTGGAATCTACGACAATGACTGTGTCGTCAACGATAGCAAACCGAAAAAGCCTATGATTGCAGCAAAACCTCCAGCAGCAGCATTAACCACCCACAAACCGAAATCTTCCTGCCCTTTTCCGCAAGCAAGCAGTCAGCTAGTTGGGGATGAGTTGCTGAATGAACCGCTCAAAATCGTCGAGGATCCAAACGAACTCTACTCTAATACCACAACTACGGCCAGCGGCGGCTGCGTCCCTGCGAGCAGCGCCGTGGTCAGCTCCAGTTCTAGCAACAGTGTGTCCCTAATGTCATCCAGCAGCAGCTCCGGAGCGATTAAGCTACCCGAACCCGTATCGTGTACCATCGTGCAGGAAAATCTGCTAGCCTCGAATAATCAGAAAATTATGGCCAGCAAATTGGGCTAGAATGGAGATACAACCACTAAATTGTACTAGGCTAACTAGTGAAAGACATACGGTATTGTACTATTTTAAGGCAAGGAAAGTAACATTACAAATTTTACTATTCTTCTGAGCATAACATTCAGTCGTATGTTTAAAATAAGCTAGAAGGCGCATAAACAAGTGAGCGGAAATGTATTACTATCCGGCATTATTGTAGATAATCAAAAAATACAATAACGAACAAAATATTACAACAAGAACAAATATGTCCACGCTGATTATCCAAGAAAATGCCCCTCAAAATACTGCATCAAAATTAAATCGCTTTCTACGTGTAGCTTTTGGACATTTGCTAACGCTGGCGATCTGCAGAATTCCCCATCCATCATCAAATCTTATAGTGAAGAACATGTCTTATCAATTAGAACGACGCTTTTTCTTAATGCCTGCGTTTCTAAAGCCTCCACATGTGTAGTTCTTGAACATGCTCCATTTCTCTACCAATCTACATTTTAAAAAAATGCATCAATCAAAAATAGAAAACAAACGGAACAATACTACAAAACGAAAACAGGTTACACATACCTTTTAAAACAGAACCCGCCAGTAGCGAAAAGAATTTGGATCTGCTTTTCCCCCCGCAAGTCTCGAAAACACTTGCTGAGTTTGGAAACTGATTTTACTTCGACGTAAGTACCTACGTAGCTTTTGAAGGTATCTCAGTTTTATTTTTGTACTCTTGATTCAATAACATTTCCAGTTTTAGACAATTTTACCCGACAACTACATAAAAAAAAATCCACATAATAACTATTTGAATTGTAAATACTAATCCAAATTTAATATTTGATTCAATCTTTCCTATCCACTATCACTGTCCATCTACTCAATCAAAACCAACAAATCGGGCTTAGTAATATCCGTTTGTTACAACTGCTCTTTGAAAGATAAAATCAACAATAATGACTAAAAGCATGCTCTGAATCACAGAATCCTAATAAAAAAAAATCTTACTAATATCTAATGCTGTAATGTAATCCAAAACTTTGGTGCGCCTCTGTAACACTGCAAATATACTGTACTTAAAGCCAATAATACACGCTGCAGGTTAAGCATGCGAATGCCGACAACACACTAATAGCTGCTGCTTGATAGAAATACATAATTTATTAACTCCAAGAAATGAAATTAACCAAATAAAACAAAATCACACAGAAATGATTAACATCTCTAGAGGATTAGAGCTAAATAGTTTTCTTTCAATCCGAAAAATGATCCAAATTGTACAGGTACCTATTCCGCCTATAATCGCATATCAGTCCCATGAGATCATATTATGTGATAAAACTACGGACTTTGATCAAGACACATATGAAAACAACATCAAGTCAGTTTGTTCCCTCAATCAAAGTCATATCGATATCGGATCCGATGTCCAATATGCAATGGAAAATACATTAAACATATTTCATTCTCTTACAACTTCATAATGCATTTGGAATATCAAAAACATCGACATTACACAAACAAAAATATTCTATTCACCCTTCCAGCCTACATCACTTCACCGTGTTTTCGAAACCAAACGCTCTCAAGAGACCGAGGTTGTAATATTTGATAGAAGTTTCAGAGCCACCAGGAACAAATATGGAAATTTAAAATTTTTACTTGTCCTAAGTAAGATAAGTACCGTAAAATAGCACATGCCATTAGTTCGGTACCGCTCCTTGCGTATCTACCCTATCAATTTCTCTACAAAGTGAGCTGTCCACTGTGGTTATTAATGCGTTGAACGATTTCCTCGTGATAACTCCATACCAAATTAGCGGTAGAGATCTTTCTCAATGGCTCGCCACGAACAAATTCTTCGTTACCAGATCCTGGAGATAGAACCAAGATATCGGATTCTTAAATATCGGTTATCATATAGATAATTTATACCCGATAATTATCGATAATATCGGACTTATCGATATCGTCACAGCACTGAATCAAAGTAATCGCATATCAGTCACCTCCTTAAATTCCATCGTGCAGAGGTGAGGTTACAGTTCTGATTATCGAGTTGCCATAGTTTTCGCTGATATAACATACACACTTAGAAATTATTATTTTTACACGAGACGTAATTCAGCTTTGACGTAAATCATGGAACGTAAACAAACATGGCATGTAAAATTAAGTGTCCTGAAACAGAAACATATGCAACTCGACGAAAAGTGCGTTTTATTGAATTGATTTTCTCGTCCTTTCCAACTGATTCTTATGTCAAAAGGGCCGCTTGCATGTATCGGTTGTAATGGTCTCAGGGCACTGAAAATAACATTTCTTTTTCGTAGTGTGTAAGTTGCGAGCTTCAATGCAACTGATTTTAACTTGTAAAAAATATTGATAAATTTACTATGATTTTTCAAATATTTACATGCACACTTAGAAAAAAAAACCATGTAAGTTTTGGTGCTCTTTGGTGCTTTTTCGGTCTAAAACCATAGAGGTAACTCTAAGACCACTGGGTCCCGAAGAAAATCATTATTATTTTTGGCTCACTCAGTACCAGAACAACGGTCCCAAGCTGTCCCAAGCTATTTCACTCACCCCTGCATGTTCTGCATGAATCCACACACCCCTGATGTTATCTGTCAAACTTTCATAGCGAATCAAAACAAACATAGTGTAGTAATAGAATTTCAACTAGAATAGGGTACGTTAATCGTTTGCTTGGGACCAATAGGCTACTAAAGTGGTGAGCCAATTTAAAATCGTTAGTTTCGTATTGATTGTTGCTAAAACCCTTTTCACAAACGAAGTTACAGACGACTTACTGGCGAAGAAATCCATTAAAATAATATGGTTCACTGTAATAGAATTTTCTTGGAAGCCATCATCCACCAGATGGGTTAGTTTTTTTGTTTTGATTTGAACAAAGTTGATTTTGTGTACAATGATTCTTTGACAGTGTGCAAAGAGTGCGTATCATTTTGTCATTTTTTTATGCACATTATTGTAATGGATTTCTTCGCCAGTAAGTCGTCTGTCACTTCGTTTGTGGTGCAAAGAGTGCGTATCATTTTGTCATTTTTTTATGCATTTCAGTTTTGAGTAGAGTGAAAGAGATAGAACCAAAACATTCTAGTACATTTGGTGAAAATGCTAGTTCAATCTAATAGTAGTGTTGCCATGTGGTACAATCCAGTAGTAGTGGTGTTGCCATGTGGTACACTGAAAAATTGCAATAGCAGGTTAGTCACCAAAGTTTTCGAGCCGCTCCGTCTGTCACTTCGTTTGTGCCCTTTTGACGGTCCACCGGGACACTCCCACGGCGATTGAAATGTCTTTTTGCGACATTTGCGCGTGGGACAAATCACGAATACGCTGCCACTTCGTCATGGTGCAACTGTTAAACTAAGTAAATCATTTTATTTTATACACAGCCTACTACCACAAACCAAGTGACAGACGACTAACTGGCGAAGAAATCCATTAAAAAAATGTGGTTCACTGTAATAGAATTTTCTTGGAAGCTTGTGCCATCATCCACCAGATGGGTTAGTTTTTTTGTTTTCATTTGAACGAAGTTGATTTTGTGTACAATGATTCTTTGACAGTGTGCAAAGAGTGCGTATCATTTTGTCATTTTGTTATGCATTTCAGTTTTGAGTAGAGTGAAAGAGATAGAACCAAAACATTCTAATACATTTGGTGAAAATGCTAGTTCAATCTAGTAGTAGTGTTGCCATGTGGTACAATCCAGTAGTAGTGGTGTTGCCATGTGGTACACTGAAAAATTGCAATAGCTGGTTAGTCACCAAAGTTTTCGAGCCGCTCCGTCTGTCACTTCGTTTGTGCTACTACCATAGAGGTAACTCTAAGACTAGAAGGTCCCGGAATAACGTGCTCAACTTTTTGGCTCAGCTCTGGTACTCTCTTCGGTCCCAAGCTAATCGATTCACCCCTCGAAAAACCAATAACCCCTCATTTTACCTGTCAAACTTTCATAGCGAATCAAAACAAACATTGCGTAGTACTAGAATTTCGACTAGAATGGGATACGTTAATCGTTTGCTTGGGACCAATAGGCTAGTCAAGTAGTGAGCCGATTTAAAATCGTTAGTTTCGTATTGATTGTTGCTACTACCAACAATCAATACGAAACTAACGATTTTAAATTGGCTCACTACTTGCCTAGCCTATTGGTCCCAAGCAAACGATTAACGTACCCCATTCTAGTCGAAATTCTACTACTACACAATGTTTGTTTTGATTCGCTATGAAAGTTTGACAGATAAAATGAGGGATCATTGGTTTTTCCTATGTTTCGAGGGGTGAATCGATTAGCTTGGGACCGAAGAGTGTACCAGCAACCGGTGGCAACTAACGATTTTAAATTGGCTCACTGCTTGACTAGCCTATTGGTCCCAAGCAAATCGATTAACGTACCCCATTCCAGTCGAAATTCTAGTACTACACTATGTTTGTTTTGATTAACTATGAAAGTTTGACAAATAAAATGAGGGGCTCGTGGATCTTCCTATGTTTTGAGGGGTGCATCGATTAGCTTGGGACCGAAGAGAGTACCAGAGCTGAGCCAAAAAATTGAGCACATTTCTTCGGGACCTTCTGGTCTTAGAGTTACCTCTATGGTACTAGAGCTGGGCCAAAAAGTTGAGCACGTTATTTCGGGACCTTCTAGCCTTAGAGTTACCTCTATGGTACAGCTGTCAACCCCGCTATATTTAGGCTGCGGTCAAGGCTGCCGTCCATTTCGTGAATTTTAACTTAAATTTGACAGATGGAAAATTTTCAAATACGCCTGCTATTCTACCAGACTTATTTCAGACAAACCAAATCTCGAAAATTGGACGATCAACATGTATTATTTTCGAAAAGTCAGTGTATTTTTACTTAAATTTGACATTTAGAAAATAAATTATAATGTTCGAAAAACTCTCTGTTGTTGATCGCGTGACTTTCGAGAAACTGTTTGTCAAAATTGATTCCTGGTCTGCCAGAAATAAGTCTGGTACAATAGACCTTTTTGACGTTTAATCGTCTTTCTCTATCTAGCACACATGGATGAATGAACGGTTTGTTTTCCCACTAATCTGTTTCCCTCTTGATCGCACTCGTTCGATTTAAATGGTGCAGTAGTGTGCGCCGATTAAACGTCAAAAAGCTCTATAGCAGGTTTATTTGAAAATTTTCTATCTGTCAAATTTAAGTTAAAATCACTGGCGTGCACAGAGTGGGGCAAGGTGGGGCAATTGCCCCACCTTTTATATATAAGATTTTTATTTCCACATTTACAAAATTATGATGTAAAATAACTTGATTTCTTGATAACTTGACTTCAAGGAAAAACAACTTAATTTCATAATATAAGGGCACTGAAAACCTTTTATTGTGTCAATTCCTTTGAGATGATGCCTGAAAATTGCACCACAAAGGTGCTTGAAGGGACAAACTTCAATGAAATTTGTTGGTCTAAGAATTGCACCACAGTGGAGTGGT